AACCTTCCTACCCTCCAGCAGATCAACACTCCCGCCCAGCTTGGTGTCCTGTGCAAACTCACTGAGGGTGCACTCGATCCCCTCGTCCGGGTCGTTGATAAAGATATTAAACAGAACTGGACCCAGTACTGAGCCCTGGGGAACACCACTTGTGACCTGCCACCAACTGGATTTAACTCCATTCGCCACCACTCTTTGGGCCCAGCCATCCAGCCAGTTTTTTCCCCAGCAAAGTACACCCGTCCCAGCCATGAGCACGGGCCTGATCACCTGGTTGTCCTGTACGTGCCATGTGATGGTGCTCAGGATGATCTGCTCCATAACCTTCCCCGGCACCGAGGTCAGACTGACAGCCCTGTAGTTCCCCGGATCCTCCTTCCAGCCCTTCTTGTAGGTGGGTGTCACATTTGCTAACCTCCAGTCAGATGGGACCTCCCCGGTTAGCCAGGACTGCTGATAAATGATGGAAAGTGACTTGGTGAGCACTTCTGCCAGCTCCCTCAGTACCCTTGGGTGGATCCCATCCAGCCCCATAGACCTGTGTGTGTTTAGGTGGTGTAGCAGGTCGCTAACCCTTTCCCCTTGGATTATGGGATTCATTCTGCTCCTCTTCCCTGTCTTCCAGCTCAGGGGGCTGGGTACCCCCAGAAGAGCTGGTCGTCTTATTAAAGACTGAGGCAAGGAAGGCATAAAGTACCTCAGCCTTTTCCTCATCCTTTGTCATTATGTTTCCCCCCCACATCCAATAAAGGATGGAGATTCTCCTTAGCCCTCGTTTTGTTGCTAAGGTATTTATAGAAACATTTTTTATTGTCTTTTACAGCAGTAGCCAGATCAAGTTCTAGTGGGTTTTGGCCCTTCTAATTTTCTCTCTGCATAACCTCGCAACATCCTTGCAGTCCTCCTGAGTTGCCCACCCCTTCTTCCAAAGGTCATAAACTCTGCTTTTGTCCTGAGTTCCAGCCAAAACTCTCTGTTAGACCAGGCTGGACTTCCTGCTGGCTTGTCTTTCGGCACATGGGGACGACCTGCTCCTGCGCATTTAAGATTTCCTTCTTGAAGGATGTCCAGCCTTCCTGGACTCCTTTGCCCTTCAGGACTGCCTCCCAAGGGACTCGGTCAACCAGACTCCTAAACAGCCCAAAGTTTGCCCTCTGGAATTCCAAGGTAGCAGTTCTGGTGACCCCTCTCCTTACTTCTCCAAGAATCAAAAAACTATCATTTCGTGATCGCGATCCCCAAGATGGCCTCCAACCACCACATCACCCACAAGTACTTCTCTTTTTGCAAACAGCAGGTCCAGCGGGGCCCCTTCCCTCATTGGCTCCCTCACCAGCTGTGTCAGGAGATTATCTTCTACACATTCCAGGAACCTCCGAGACTGTTTCCTCTCTGCTGTATTGTATTTCCAGTATTAATATTATTTCAGTTCTTTTTAGTGTATTAGGTATGTCCTTAAGTGTTTCACAGATGATAAAAAAAGAGTATTCCTGTAGTCTTATTACACTGGCATAAACCAAAATGAGTAGCCCTTTATTTGTGTCCGCATTGAGTGGTTGTGGTTTCGTTGAAATCAAGGTATGATACATCATGTAATTAAGAGCTACAGAATTAGAGAGGCTACAACAAATATGCTAACCTTTGGGTAAGGAGAGGAAAAGGTAAGGTTTAGAGCAAGAAGCAAATGGGATAGCTACCTTTTTTGTTTGTTACCACTTTTTTCTTAATCTAATTACATGCTATCACCTGGCAGGTCAACTTTTTGAAGAGCAAATCAAGATAGCTTGGGGGAGAAAAATCCCTTATATGTCAAAGAAAACAATCAATGGTGTTAAAAAGAAGAAAAAAGTTGATGAAGGAGAGTGGGGCTCTTAATTGGATGTTCTGTAACAACGAATAAGAGCTGAAGCAAATGTACAAGGGTGCACATGATCCCTAACAGTTCAGCAAACCGTTCTGTTGAGGACTCTGCAGGGAGGTAAAATTGTAGTAGAGATGCTCAGTTTTACAGCGTAGATGGCTTTGGAGAGA